CTGCTACATCTCCTGTGTCTAGCTCAATCACAGGCAAAACAAACGCACCAAAAAAATGTTTGCTGAAACTCAAATTGAAGGATATTCTACAGGATTCCTGGCTTCTATTTTGTTTAAGCTGTAAAGGTCATTCATTTCAAAGGAAGGAAAAGAACTATTGCAGATAAGAAGATACTGAAGGTTGTGACAAATAAATGCAATGCAGGTGCCTGGACCAGCAAATGAAAATGTAGCGATCAAGGCTATTATACAAAGGATAATTGTCATGCTCTAAATAGACTGTATGGATAATATTGTAGTACTAATGCTATATTAATTTTTTATGCAGAAGTTGATCTGAGTTAAGAGAGTATCTTTGTTCTTAATGAATACTGAAGTATTTATGGATGATTTTGATTTCTCAGTGGCATATAATATATGCCAGTTGTTTTCAAATGACTCATAATATTTGTATCTGCCATTAGATAAATGATAGAAACATACATACAGAGAAAAGGGGGTGATAGAATGATAAGTGATAAATTGATTGAAATAAAATATTTACAATTGCAGCATTTGACAATGTGGGTTAAGGTACCTGGGAGTTCTTTAGCAAAGCAAGTGCTTTTCACAGCAATGTATCTTCAGTGAGTAAGAGATGAAAAGATAACCAGAGTTGAAAAGTATTTGTGAGGCAATTATCATTGGAAGTGCTGATAGAAGAGAGAAGTAGAGAAACTATGCCAAGTAGGAAAATCTCCAAGCCAGTTTAATATGTCAATGAGGAAGTGGAGGGCAGTAGGGCAGTTTGGTCAATCAATTTGAAGAGACAGCCGAACGTAACAATGGGAACCAGAATAAAGATGCTCACTGAGGCAGTTAAATGATTAGTATCCTCACAGTATAAACCTTTTTTGCTTACTAGAAGGGCCACTTAGATGTGTACTTTCTCCGAACAAAAATTGTACTACAAACTATTTTACCTTGCAAATCCTTAATGTTATTTCTTTAAGGTTAAAGTAAAATAGTACAAGGTTCCACATCATTACATTTCCATTTAATTCATGCTTATTTCCTGAAAATAGAATTTTATTCCAGATATAAGTATGAGAAGTTTGGGGAATTTTTAATGAAAAGTATAAAAGAATGTAAAAACTTTCATATTAGGGTATCTTCTTATGTGTACAAATACAAAATATTCTGTGAACATAAGTGCTTTTTTATCTGAGTATTATACAGGTAGAATTTAATTTTAATGGATACAGTGTAATTCTAAGAGCCTAATATGACCTACTTATATTACATATAGGTTTATTGTTTAACTCCCTTTTTCATAGTATTGCTATTTATACTACTTGCCTCACCTCAGTGGGGAAGGGGACTTACTAGGATTAAAACTTCTGATTCACCTTCTATTTGAAGACTTTTTTTTCTCTTTGTTCAGCTAGTGGCAACCATGATGAATTCTCATCTCCAAGGGGTAAGCTATTTTTAGTAAAGCCCAGTAGTCTCCAACTTCTTAGTAATAGTGTGGATTCCTTCCTGTGCCTATGTTTTGTCTCCTAGAGTGCTACAATCTGTGTAGAGACAATGTTACCATGCTTAGGTACTCTTAAGCATGTAATGATTTTAGTTCTGTCAACAAAATATTTGTGTAGTGACTTTGCCTGAGTCCATGTCAGAGAAATAAATAAGAGCAACTAGTGTTCTACTTGCTTAGCTAGGATGAGAAATGGCAATGGTAGAAGACAGGATGCTCTATAAGAAGGTAGCTTGCATTAAGAACAGGAGGTCTGAGAGAGTAACATCTGTTGAGGTCAGCAGTTCAGGGGCAGGAAATAGAATTTCATAGATGGTGATCTTATCTCTGATCCATGGGTGGCTCATGGGAATAGCATTGAAGACCATCGTTTTGGGGATTTATAGAATTATAACTCCAAGGGCTCAAGAAATCATAAACACAAACGAAAACTGTACACATAGAAACAAGTGAAGAGAAAAACCAGCCAGCTCTGCCTGTGTGCTTATGTTCTTCTTCGTTACACTTCTTTCAGTTGATGTTTTGTATCTTAATGAAAAAATAGTTGTGCATAACATATTCAAACCTAGAAAGAAATAAAGGAGAAAATTCACATTCGCACATAGAGAGAAACCACTAAAACCGTAATGGTGCCTGATAAATTACATAACTGTATGTATATATAAAATATTTATCTACTATATGTTATGTATCCTTTTACAATATTATATATTTATAATTTTGTCATTTATTTTTGGAAATCAATGTATTGAACAAAGTAGGATAAAAGTTGCAACTTTGTTTTAAAATACTTTAGAAATGCCTTGTTGCAAAATAGGTCATTAATAATCTTCTCAGGTGCTTTTAAAGCATGTGTCTGTCAGCAAAATTAGAGAGTCACCCAACTAGAGAACAGATTTTACAATACCCTGAGACCTATTTTGTTCATTAGAGAGGAAAATGACTTGTTTTAAGTCTAAATTGACATGCTTGCTAATTTCAGCAATAAAAGCTGTTCATTGTGGTCAGATTTAATTTAGAGTCTGAGTAGGTTTAAAATAAAGTTGATCAAGTTGATTTCACAACATACTTCTCAAATGAAATTTTAAGTGCTAAAAGGAAAAATGCAATAAATGTTGAATAATAACTAAAAGAAGCAATGAGAAGACTGAGAAGGTGAACTCATATAAAGAAAAATAACCTGGGATAATATTTCTTACATACAAAATACCCCAAAATTTAAAAGTTTTTAAGTCATACGCCATAGCCTATTGCATTTCTTCATTGTTGTATTCATAGTACTTAGAAGAAATCTTAGCATTTGAAAGATATTTAGGAAAATGAATGAATAAGTTTGCTAGTTATGTGGAAAAATTCTTTGTTAACATTGAGGTGGAGATTTGGCTTGATCTGGGGTTGTTGGTTAAGCCTATTTTCTAAAAAAATCAGTGGAATATATCCAAGCACTTGAGAGTAGGCAGTAGCAAAGCAGCTTTTGTGCTTGCTCTGTCATAGAAAGCCAGAGTGTCACATTCTAAGCCTGGAAAACATCTTATTTTATAAAAGTCTGTCTACTACTATAGGGCTCCTCTTTTAAAATTTGTTCAGTACTCTCAAACTGACTTGTGTCACTTACTTCAATAGCTGTCTCTGGCAATTTGTTCCATATTTCAAACACCCCTTTTGTGTAAAGAAACCATAAAAGTTAGAAACCTGAAAATTGGATTTTTCTTCTGAGCAATCACAGCTAAGAAATGTGGAAAAATTGTTAAAAGTTGGCCCCTTCAATTTTTCCATATGTAGAGAAAAAAAGCTCAAAATAGATGTATAATGTTTGAATTCATTTTCACATTGTTTTAATAATACCAGTAGCAGTTGAGCTTAAATCACAAAACCTATTTGTTGGCCTCATCACAAACAAATTCTGCAGAATATAAACTTTGGTCTTTCTGAAAATGAAAATTGTTGGACAATCAATAAATGAAAGAAAATAGCAGATAACAAAGTTTCATAAATATTACTGCCTATTATATTTTACCATTTGAATTTCATCAGGCTACTGTGATAATAGAAAGAGCATTGGTGTTAAAATAAAAACTTCTGGCTGTTATTAATATGACTATTATGAGAATAAAAGTGAGAATTAATCTAAAACATCTGTCCCACATGAAGATACTTCAGAATATTCATGGAAATCCATATTATGAAAATACTGTGCATGGACTTCAAAAACATTTTGCATTGAAATATAATTCTTTTAACTCCATTTTCTGCAAAGTACCTTTCTCAAGTACCATTGTGTGGTTATAAACCAATAGTATTCATTTTACTTTCTCCAGCTGCATTAGAACTTAATATTACAACAACATCAAGGCAGATGTATATTATTTTTGTAACTTTTAAAAGGTCACACATATAATTTATAGATGCATTTATTTTACTTGAAATTAAGAGTTACAGAGAGATAGAGAATGAGAGATCTTCTATCCACTGATTCACTCCCCAGATGGCCACAATGGCCAGAATTGGGCTGCTCTGAGAACCTAGAAGCTAGGAGCTTCTTCTTGGTCTCCCATTTGGGTAAAGGGTCAGAACACAAGCAGGGAGCTAGATGGAAAGTGCAGCAACTGGGATGCAAATCAGCAACACTCTTATGGGAAACCTTCACCAAAGGTGGAGGGTTGTAAACTTGCTTTGCCACCATACTGGCCCCTATCTGGGATTATTTCTCTACTCTAGATAAACTAAGATGGTGGGTGCTTGAAACAAAGGATTTCTTAATGACCTACATGTCATCATCTAGCCATATTAAACCAGAACCATGAATAATGCAGAGAAATATGAATACTGGCTTCCAGTTTTTAGATTCCAAACTTGCCAAATCATAAACATTATGTAGAAATGTGTTTAAAAAATAGATTCCAGGTTCTTTCCTTTACTAATCAGTTATACAGTAGGGTTGTAGCCAGATGAATTTGAGAAGACTGATTTAGTTCATTTGTGTCACATTGCCATAAGGGAGGAATTGCAGGTATAAACCTAAATAATATCTCCTAAGACAGGTTTGCGTATTTTCTGTTTCCAAAATACAGATATTCCTTAATTCTGATATTCCACAGAATGAGATCATAATTAGGGATAGCTGTTTATCTCTTACATACATTATCATGATCCAGACATGCATTTCTTTCTTATACCATTAATATGTTAGCTTAAGTAAACTCACATATTCTAAAATGATTTCCACTGAGTTCTTAAATAGTGAAGCAAGTGTATAATCATGATTTTCTCTTGAAATATTGCGGGTTATCTAAAAGTGGCACACATTTCATGCTAATTTTTTTTCTATAAATCTTTACACAGCACAGACTTATATTCAGTAATATCTTTTTTTTTTATTTCTGAAGTTCTGGCTAGTTTGAAAATTGTGCTTTACTTTATGTGTCAAAGGAATATACAATGGAGGAGAGCCCAATGTTAACGGCTTATTTTTTTCTTTCAGACAACATTGCAAGACTTGGAACAGAGGCGCCCCCAGTTAGAAGAACTCATTACGGCTGCACAGAATTTGAAAAACAAAACGAGCAATCAAGAGGCTAGAACAATCATTACAGACCGAAGTAAGTCATTTAATAGGCATGGGTGTTTCAACACAAGATGAATAAAATGTTTTAATAATAATGTAAGACCACATACTCTTGTTACATTTATACTAACAGTGTGAAGCAATTATACACATAGTAACTCTTATATTGAATAAGGTTTCTGGTTCATAATGTTGTTTTTCAGCACTAGAATGTCACACCACTGAAGTGGAGAAATAGAGTTTTTGTCCACCTAGATTGCATAAAGATGACAGACATGGGGTGACGGCATGTTGAGCGTAGTGTGACAGAAGATATGGTCCTTAATTCTCATCTACTTGTGCTGACCTCCAAAGAGATGCCAGTCTCTGCCGCATCTTTAGATGCTTGCTGGTCCAAGCAGGAGGTTGCCTCCCTAGACTCTAATTTCTGTCTGTAGTGGCGCTTGTAGATCTGGATATTGCTCTGCTTCTCTGACTCCCCTGTTGTGTAATGATCAGCAACCATCATATTGCTCCTTCTGCTGGAGTGGAATGGGTGTAAACTTAGAAAGATTGTATAAGATCCATCTGGCTTGACATTGCACATACGCCTTCCTTCTTTACCCAGAGGGAATCACACTGTATGAGGTTTCGGCAGGTTGTGTGCTCAAGGTAAGAAAGAGAGGAGGGAGTCATGCAAAGTGGCCTCCACCCAGTTTGTCTCAGAGACTGTCCTCAGATCACCTCTGCTGTCAGGTTCTTTGTCTCCACAAGTTGCTTCCCTTGCTTTCCCCTGCCTTTCCTCCACAGACATGGAGCAGTCATTCCTTTGCCCTTAAGGATGCCCTCATGTCCCTTCCTGTAAGCAGAGAAATCTTTTCTAGTGCAGAAATAGGAAAGAAAATACTTAATCATCTTTTTTTTCCCTTCTAAACCTATTCCCTGACATGAGGCCTAGGCTTTTGAAACTCAAAAACCATGAATGTATTTCTTCAGATTTTACATTCTGCTGTATTAACTTATCCCTAAGGAAACCGAGGCAGAATACTTGGCTGTCAATATCCTGGGAAAGGGTGTAGGATAACCAGAACAAAAGGTTAATTTTTGAGAAGTATTATTAGTCACACTTGCACATGTTATGTAGACTTTGTAGCTGCTATGTATGGAGTACCTCTTAAGTATCGAGTGGGGAGTGTGTGTGTATAATAAATTTTATAGAATCCTGAGCGTTATATTTCATAGTTTTTAGTAGAGGAAACAATTTCCAACAATGATTCATCAGATTGCTCAATCCTACAAAACACTCACACAAGTTGCAATTTGAGTTTCTTGGGTAGAGATTTATGTTCCATTTGTGCTTTTACTCTTACCCATCTAATTTGTTCTTGCATTACTGACCTTAGTTACTGAGACTAAATAATTGTTAGGTCTGTGGTTATGTATGCTTGGGTTTACTTTCTGAAGACATTACCTCCTCCAGTTGTAGAGATTATTAATTAAAATAGGTGTTTCTTTTGGTTTCAAATAGTGTTTTTAATGTATATTTTCATCTATTTGAAAAGCAGAGCAACAGGAGCCTGAAATTGCTTCAAGGTAATCCCTACGGATGGCAGGGCCCCAAGCATCCTGAGCCCTCATATTCTCTCTCTGTTTACACTATAAGGGATTGGGATTAAAAGCAGTGTCTGAACCTTGAAACAGTACTCTGATAATGGGATGAGGCTATCGCATGTGGTGGCTTAAACTGCTGGGCCACAAGTCCCATTTGGAAAATTTAACTCTTTATGGCTGTTCAAACAATGAATGCGCTATGGGCTAGTGCGTTAATTGGATAACACTAGCTACTACAACATGTAAACTCTGGAATTGCGGTAGTGTGCCACAGTAGAATTTTTTTTTATGATGATGATGATGCAGTGAGCATTCCACTATGGAGTCTTTCAGGATGCATACTCCTTTCTCCTTTCATACCCAAAGCATGTGCGGGAGAGGAAGTAAGATGACTCACGAGGATTTTTCGTGAGCTAAGCCTGAAAGTGGTAAATTAGTTTTGCTCATAGTGTGTTGAAGAGAAATTGTCACATGACCACACCTAACCACGAGGGGCTCAGGGAAGCAGAAAAATAGATTAAGAAACTATTCAATCTATTGCACAGCTAATTTGTATAAGGAGAAAAATTCTTACATTCTGTTGATGTGTATAACATACAATACTGCTTTTCTATATGCAGCAAAGTCAGACCAAGCTTTAGTGATCAACTTAGACAGTTATTCAGCTGATATAGCAGAGTATTCCCCAAACTGGAACCATCAGAGTGTCTCCCACATATTGGAATATACTAACCCCCTGAAATGTGAATCTTAGAAAATTATTGATGCAGTATGAGACCAAATTTCCAACACACAGCCAAGGAATCTATTTCTTGCCTGAAAAGTATGGAAATTTGTTAGGGATATCTTCCCAACTTCTGAAATACTGTATAGTATATTAATTTTAGTATCAGTTCAACTGTGTCTAAATATTTTTTATTGCTGCAATCTTTTTTTTTCTATTCATACCAAACTGACTGTTTCGTAAATTAGATTACAATCAGATGGCTAGATGGCAAGCTTTCATTTTGTTGGTAATATAGAGTGATTTGAACAATTCTGTTTTTTCAATTTTTTTCTTAAGAATGAATAGCTTTATGAGTATTTGTAGCCTAGTGGAGAGAACCTAATCCAAATGATTAGTCTCTGTTAGAATAAGTCATGTTGCTTATTAAGAGCTTAAGCTAGAGTCTTTGTTACAAATATGCTTGAAGCCACTAAAGTGGCTGCTGGGATAATTCTGACAAGGTGTGTTTATCTAAATTCAGCCCTAATATGCTTTGGTTTATCTCTTCATTTAAAACCTATGAAATGGGATGGAAATTCAATACTCATAAAATTTCAATTGTATTCAAAATGGAATTTTTCCTAGTATAGATTTGGTTTTCAGGGAAAGAACAAAAATAAAATACTTGCTCATAAAGTTGTATTTTCTCATTTGAAGATTTCAGTCTTTTTTATTGCTTTGAAACTTCTAGAAGTACTTAAAAAGGAATAAGCTAAGTAAAGAAAAAATACTTAGTATGTGTCTAATACTATTTTGTAACATTTCTCCTTCCTTGGCAAATCCCAGTTAATAACTTTGAACAATTGCGGAAATCGGTACATAGTGATTACATTTTACTGAGTGGAAAGTCCAATAAAAAGCAATTCCTCTCTAGTAAAATTCATGCAGAAACTGCAAAATGCCAACATGTTTTGCTATATGCAGCTGTATCCTCAGTATCAGTTATTTTCAAGTAATCATATTGATTTAAAGCCTGTTGTAATAATAATCTAGGTAAGAGAATAAATTTAATTCTCAGGGAGTTCAAATGAGAAATTTTCCTTGCTGATTCCAATGTCCAGATTGTTCTTTATTCTTCACTTTTGTGCTTGCTGACTTTGTTGACCATCCCTGGTCATTTTCTTCTGTGAAAACAACTAGGTCAGGGGATCAAGATCAAATTAGAGGTTTGTTTGGTTCCTTCAGGTGTCCAAATTATGTAAAAACCATTTTAATCTTAATTAGCATTGTAAAATATAAAGCTATGATACCTTGTGTCACAGTAAGGAGTATATGGAAAGACCTGATCCTTTTAGTTTAATTTCTATTTTTTAAATTTTTTTTATTACATTGCATTGTGACAGTTTTTTAGGCACTGGGAATCCCCCTACCCCTCCCCCAAATCTCCCCCTATGGTGGATTCCTCCATCTTGCTGCATTGCCACAGTTCAAGTTCAGTTGAGGTTCTTTCATTGCAAGCATATACCAAACATAGTTTAATTTTTAATAAAGTATTATTGATGTGAGTTAATTGAAATTTGTATTTGAGTACCTTGCTTCTGTATCTTCTCCCTCAATAACTCCCACAAATATCACTTGAAGGATATGTAGCAATAATAAATTTGTGACACAGGCTTTCTGGATTGGCCACTTACTTATTTTGCCATCTTGAATTAATGATTAATCTTAGTAAACTACACGATTTCAGTTCTCTGTCCTGTGAAACAGAATTAGTTTTATCTGCATCCAAGTTTGGGAGCTTAAATAAGATTATATGTGTAGAATACTTAGAAACCTAGTAAAAGCTCAATGATTGTTAGCTTGGTTATTTTCTTCTCATTTTATATGAAAGGCAAAGGTTGAAGGAAGGAAGAGTAAGAGGGAGGGAGGGAGGAGGGAAGAAGGAAGAGAGGGAGAGGAAAAAATGAATGAGAATATCTTTATTTGCTAGTTTACTCAAATGCCTGAAGATACCCAGGGTTGAGTCAGGCCAAAGCCAGGAAAACCATTCCTATCTTCCATATGGGTGGTGGGGACCCAACTTCTTGAACTTGCATCACCTACTAACTACATCACCTACTAACTGTCAAGGTGCATGTGATCAGGAAGCTCCAATGGACATGTAGCAGCCAAAATGGGACTCTGTTGTGACATGTGAGTGCCCCAAGTGGCAATTAGCACCTATGCCAAATGTTTAACCTAGTTATTTTAATTATATAGTCTATTTGAATGTTGGTTTTTTTTGTAAAAAAAAAAAAGGACTTATTTACTTATTTGAAAGTCATACCTATAAAGAGAGAAGGAAAGACAAAGAAAATGAGATATCTTTGATCTGCTGGTTCATTCCTCAGATGCCCACATTGATCAGGGCTGGGTCAGACTGAAAGCTTCTTCCAGGTCTGTCATGTGGATGGCAGGGACTCATACATTTGGGCTATCTTTGCCTGATTTTCACAGGCCAGTAGCAAGGAGTTAGAGGAGAAGGGAATAGCCAAGGGAACAGCCAAGGGAACAGTGCCATGAACTGGCACTCGTGAGCTGACACTGCAGACAGTGACTTTACCTACTATGCCACAATACCCACACTTATTTGAATGATCTTGAATGTATACTGAAAAAGAGGAGAAAGTTGCTTTGGAAATAAAATAAAATATATAAATATGATTAAAGAAACATTTGGACAAGCCTTTATAGGGGTG